AAAATTGCCTTTTCCAAGCTATATTGGATAAAAACCACGCCGTGATACCGAAAGGATTTTTGYTAAACAGCAGCAGGACAAGACGTTMAAGCCATCTCTGAGCACCTCACTGATTTACCGACCCKTATTTCAATACCTGCCGGGCCTATCTTGAACTTTTTCCGAGGTGTTTGCGAAGGGAACTTCGAGATTAGCACTCGGGGAACCACCCTAAAACACAGCTGGAGCGGCATCAAGAGACTCCTCCGGCCCCGCAGTGTTTGCCTTTTCCAAAGATCCCTAACGCCGTTTGCCTTTTCCAAAGATCCCGAGCCGGAGCGGCCCTGGGGACCCCGGGCCGGGGTGCGGTGCCTTTAGGGGAGCACGGAGCAGCGAACGGGGCTGTTCGGAGCGCTCCTCCCATTGTGGTTCACAATTCCAGGGTTGGGAAGATGCTCCGCAGGGCAAAGCAGACTCCAAAGGTGGCGGTGGCCTGAGAGCATCCCGCGGATGGTTCAAACTCGGGGTTGGGCGAGTTTAAACCCCGCACACCCCACCTGAGCCCCCGCCCGGCCGGGGCTGACTCACGGAGCTCCGAGCGCGGYTATTTCCGTGCTCCCGCTGCAATCCCCGCTCCTCCGGCTGCGCTGTCAGGCACCTCAGCACCCCCGCCGCCTCTATTCTTAGCACTAATAGCTGAAATAATTCCTTTTGTCTCCGCGCTGCCGGCTCCTCCGATCGGGAGCTGGGTGAGAGCTGCCCCCGCACCCGCTGGCAGGGGGGTTCCAGGGGTTCTGGGGGTCCCGGGGGTGAGGGCAGTGCCCCTGTAGGGTGGGCACCCCAAATACCCCGACCCCGGCTCCAGCACATCCTTAAGCTCTGCTTTAAACTGGCCGGGGTGTTAATGGGGTGCCACCTCTTCGAAAAGGATCCCGGCTCTTCCAGCTGGGAGTTTTTTAGACTTCGCAGGATAAATTCCAGGTTTTCACCTGCAGGCTCCCATTTCGGTGCCTGCTCTGAGCCGTGGGCTGGGTTTGCACCGAGAATGCAAATGTGAGTCCCCAATGCCAGCGCAGCCGTGCCAACACATCCCCGACAGCGCCTGGGAACGAACCCACACCTCTGGCACGGCGGGCTTTTGATCTCAGCACCAGCTGTTCCACACAATTCCCTTGGATCCCCTCCCAGAGGGGACTGTGAACCCCCCACCCCGCTCTTTGTGGGACTGTCAGCTGCACACACCCAAACACACGCACGCAATCGGCTTTAAAACTGTTTGAGAAGGGTTTTATTGCTCTTTGCCTGCCTGCTGCTCTTCCTCCTGCTGCCCTGGACCCCAGGGAGAGCAGCAGCCTGCTCCAAGCTGTGGCTGCCTCATCCCTGAAGTGTCCAAGGCCGGGCTGGACGGGGTTTCAAGCAGCCTGGGCCAGTGGAAGTGTCACTGGGTGATTTTTAAAGTTCTTTCCCACCCAAACCATTCTGTGATTCTACTGAGCTGGTAAAAGAAGGACTCACTGACCATTTCTCTGGAATTCACTAAAGGAGCTTGCCTGGAAAACAATAAACCCTTTGGAAAAAAACCAAAACCTAAATGTTTGTTGTGACGCTGTGCCTCACTGAGGCTGTGTTTTATAAGAATGAGATATCACTGACATTCAAAAAGAGCGCTTGAAAAACCGACTATTCTGCATTTTAAAGCAGCTTTTAGGACTCTAAAAAAGTGAAGAAACTTTTCCACTGCCCTGTCCACCTTTGCCCGATTCTCTGCTCCTCCCGTTGGTGCCCAGCCACTCCCGAGGGGATGTGCCAAGACTCCCCTTGGTGGCTCCCAAGGTCGAGGGGTTACAGATTTACAGCTGCCCAGACTTGCTCCGTCCCRGGCAGGAATTCGTTTGGCATAAACGAGGCCTTGGATTATTTATCTGAGCCTTTCAGTGAAACAGGAACATGCCCTGATTTTAACAATCGTGCTTCCTGCACTGGGGGAAGGTGTGGCCGATGGCATTTAAACCGAAACCCGAGCCAAGGCTTCCCTGGCAGGAAGTGCGGGCAGGACCACGAGGGTTCCTTCAGCATTCAAAACACCCCAGGGCCTTCCTCAGGTTATTTTATCAGCCCCAGCAGCAATAATGATGTGCACCAGGGTGAGATTTGGGCAGTGCCACACTCCGTATGTTATTGCTATTGAGGCCATCGTAGCGTGACAGCAGAAAATCGCACGGGAGACGCCGGAGAGCTGAGGAGGAACCTTTAGGTACAGCCTGGCAGAGCAGCAGGGCAAGCCCAAAGTTCCTCTGAAAGCTGAGCAATTGCTCCCTGATCCTTGCATGGTGCTGGGGGAGCTGTCAATGACAGCCTGGAGGGTCAATCCCCTCCCTCCTTCCTCCAAAAATTATATTTTTCCCCAAACATCCATCCCAAACCATCCCASCTGCAAGCTGTGAAATCTTGTAACAATGTCCAGCACAATAAAAACTCTTTATTTTATTAATAAGCACCCAARCCTCAGCTGGGATCAGCAATGGGGTCCCCCCTTGATTTGGAAGGGATTCCTACCCTGCCATTCCCACACTGATCTCCCTCTGACCACAGCCATGGATTATTCCCATTTCCCAAGCCTCCCTTCTAGCCCAGGACTTTGCACCCTCATAGGCAGTTCTTACAAAACCAAAGCTCTGCCTCCTGCTTTTCAAGTCTGGAAGGAAAAAAAAAATGCTAAAAAAAAAACCCCAAACCAGTAACAACACATGGAAATGGGCTCCAGTTAAACCAGAAAAGCAGCCTAGATTTCTACTGTGGAATCACAGCCTCTATTCCCTTACAGAAAACGCCAAATCCTGCCCAAAAGTGTCAGAAGATGACTTTACTTTTTAGGCTTCATTACTCAGTTCTCAAGGCTGAAGTTTTCCATTATCCCAAGATTTCCCAGTGCACCTCTGAGCTCTTCTTGGGAGCTGAGTGCCACCAGCAAGTACAGAGAGCCAGGTGAAGGCACAAACATTGCAGGGCTTTCAAATGAAAGTAACCATAGAACAAATGTCCCATTTCCCTTGAAAGCAGCCAGAAGGAATTATTTGAAATCAATCCAAGATGGTTTCACCTTCTTAATGCACCACAGGCCTGCCCAAAGCGGTGTGAGCTGAGAGCATCAGTGCCCTGCCCCATTTCTGAGCTGCCAGGGTCTCAGCTCTGTCACATCTGGAGCTCTGTGGATGTCGAGGTGGCACAGAGTGCTGCAAACCACCGGGGAGAGGTGAGAATGTGGAAAATCTGCAAATCCGCCCCAGCCCCGCGTGTTGGGGCTCCTGGGAGAGCCGGGGATGAAGGAGAGCGGCGAAGGCAGYGAGCACCGCGGCAAAGCTCGGCCTGCTGGGGCGGGGATGAGTCATTTCGGGAGCCTGAGCTCCCCCCAGTCATTAAGGAAGGAGTTAATCCCTGCAGCTTTGGCCACAAAGTGGATGTGCAAGGCCTGGAGTCCCACGGGCTCGATTGCATAAGGAACMGTGGATTGTGGCGTTTAGTTGATCATGCACTACTTCTTCTGGTCACATGGAGGCTTGATTTCCCCTTGCATCAGCTACTACAGACTTTTTACATTTTTCGTGCCCGTGTCTGCTCAGTTCAGCGGGGTCATCCCCTTCACCCCGCTGCTCACCCAGCCCTGGCTCATGGGATCTCATTCCATTTTCTGCAGGATCCCATCGGAGGAACCGGGCGCTTGTGATTTTTCTCATTTGTGCCTGTGCGTAACAGGTGTCATTTTCAGTGTAGTACAGACAAATCCCAAAATAGCTCAGGCTCTTCAGACGCTGCGAGGAGAAAAAACCGTGGTTACTTCAGCTTTGGTTGTAGTGAAAAAAAACCCAACGCTCGCAGCCGGCTCTGAAGTMGGAATTAAAATGGCAGACGGAGGTGTGGAGCAGGGATGTCTCTGCATTCCTGACGGACTGCTCCTTGCTGCTCTGTGTGTGTGTGCACACAACTCCCTGTGCCTCTCCAGCAGCTCCCAGGAGCTGCACCTGCCACAGATCCTCCTCCTCCTCCTCCACAATTCCCGGTGCCGGCAGAGCTCAGCCTCTCCTGCCGGGCRCTGGGGCCGGCCGAAACACCGGGGTTCATCGAGGAATTTGGGGGGCACAGGGGAGGAGAGAGAGTGCAGCTGCACGAGRTTCCTGGCCTGGGGATGCTGCCTGCTGTGCTCAAAGGCAGAGCTGCCTGTGGACTGTCTTTGTCAGGGATTATTGGATTCTGGTGACTCCAGGAACGCAGTTATTAGTTCCCCTGCCCACGCCGAGCGTTTTGAATCTGTGTGTGTGATAGCACTTATTAATGCCGCTCAGATTAAGAAGATCCTATGGCCTTCCAGCACTTTCAGGACCTTATCTCCCATCAGGCACCTGACCAGCAGCTGAACCAGGCTCAGATCGATGTCCTGTGGCCAGCAGAGCAGGGGCTTGTGGGGCCAGCAATAGCCTCATGCCCACAAGTCCCACTCTGCTCACAGAAGCAGCTCCTCTTAAGCTGCCCTGTGCTTCGGGGGATCTGCCTGCTGAGGATTTGCGAGATGTGGGCCTAAAATAATTTATTTCAGGAAGTCAGGCAGTGGCTCCTGTCACMGAAACAGTTAATCAGAAAGCACCGACTCTCTACTGCAACGTGTGTGTGCGTGCGTGTGTTGTTGTTTTTTAGAGCCAGCRAGATTTGCTTTGGTTTTTTTAAAGCAGAAAACACCAAAAAAGTTGGCTGTGGTTTCAGCTGCTATCACTCGAGATTTGTGCTGCTGACTACCAATCCTAAAAGAGTTAACCTGGCAAGTATGACTCAGAAGCAGAGCAGGAGATGCGAGGCTGAGAGCCGGGGAGGAAGCGCAGAAACAGAGGTGAGGAACAGAATAATCGCCAAAAAAAGGTGCAGAGTCCAGGAGCGCCGTTCCCTCCGCTCTGCCTGGCCCTGGCACCGCTGGCACGGGCTCCCTGGAAAGCTGCAGTTCCGCTCTTATAACACAAGGAGCAGGCTGGAGAATTTAGAGCTGCGTCACAGAGCTCAGCGAGAGAGTGAGAGAGCAAGCTCCGTCGATAGGTCTACCAGCAACAGCCCTGCTGCAGCAAGAGGGGAGAGAGGCAGCAAGAGAGGCACAGAGGGCTCCAGGAACAGAAGTGGCACCAACACCACGGACCGGGCTCCTGCCACCCTCCACTGTCATCTGCACCTCGTCCTCGGGCTCGCCCGGCGTAGGAGGCTTCGCCCATKGACGATGCTGGAGACCCGGCGCGCTTAATCCCGCGGGGAGGGAGAGTGGGCAGACACCGAAAGRGTTAACGGGAAGGAAATTTCTGGAACCTTCTCTTCTGCGGCGCTCCAGAGCGAGCGGAGGGCTGAGGACTGCGCAGATGGTGCACGGGCACGGCTCCTCGGTCCGGTTCGTCTCCCTCACGTACGTACCCTTTGATCAGGATGGGGCTGGAGCTGCAGCCACGCATTYGGATTGTTTGCAGGGCGTCCCTCTCCCCCGGCGTCCCTAAGTTCGGATCCCAAAGTGCCTTGATTATTATTTTGGCTGGGCAGGATTGCTCTGTTCTGCGTCAGAGCTGTTTTCTCAATGGAGCGACGGCACAGGTTGTACTAATGTCACTCTTGCCGGCATTGCTGTGCTGCAGAGGAGGGTAGTAGTCGTGGGGGAGAGATGACAACTTTGCAAAGCGTGCCGTTTTCCCGTTTGTCTGGGCTGTCTGTCCCCCCCCGTGTCCCTGCAGGCTGGCGTGTCGGCGAGGGGTCGGTGCAGGGGTTAACGGGCGCCCTGCGACTCGGAGCTCGGAGCTTTGTCACTGCGTAGTTCGCAAAGTGGCAAACGGTGACGCAGTGATCATTGCAGGGCACGGCGTCCAGTTTTTAAAAGCACCGGGGGGACAGGTACACGGGGTGCCTTCCAGACGCTTCCACGCCAGCTGAAAGGGGTTAAAGATGAGTCGAGCCGGGAAGCGAGCATTTAGGGATTAAATGTCATCATTTTGGCGTTGGAAAGTTGTTTACCTTGCTCTCTCGGTGTCTCCATGCTGGCAGGCGGCCAGCTCACATGTGATAGTCTTCCCTGGACTGCTGCATCATTAACGAGAGCCAGCGGCGGCTCCCATTGGCCGCGGAGGGCGCAGCGCCGGGGCCGCGCCGCCATTGGGCGCAGCGGGGATGGCAGGTGGAGCGCCCGAGCCCATTGGCCCGGCGGGCTGGCACGGCCAGCGGGCGAGCGAGGGCTGCGAGAGGGCTGCGAGCTGCCCCTGCCCTGCTCCCGGCTCCCTGTTCCCTGCTCTGTGTTCCCTGTGTGCCTATTCCCTGTGTCTGTATTCCCTGTGTCTGTACTCCCTGCCCCCTGCTCCCTATTCCCTGCTCTGTGTTCCTTATTCTCTGCCTGCGGGTGGCAGAGCGAGCAAGCCAGCACTGTGAGCACCGGGAGCTGCCCCTGCCCTGCTCCCGGCTCCCTGTTCCCTGCTCTGCATTCCCTGTGTCTGTACTCCCGGCTCCCTGTTCCCTGCTCTGCATTCCCTGTGTCTGTACTCCCTGCTCCCTGTTCCCTGTGTCAGTATTCCCTGCTCCCTATAGCCTGCCTGCGGGTGGCAGAGAGCACCGGGAGCTGCCCCTGCCCTGCTCCCTATTCCCTGTTTCCTATTCCCTGTTCCATATTCCCTGTTCCCTATTCCCTGTTCCATATTCCCTGCTCCCTATTCCTATTCCCCATTCCCTGCCTGCGGGTGTCAGAGGGAGTGAGCGAGCGCTGCAAGCACCGGGAGCTGCCCCTGCCCTGTTCCCTGCTCCCTATTCCTTGCTCCATGTTCCCTGCTCCCTATTCCATGTTCCCTATTCCCTGCGTGCGGGTGTAAGAGGGAGTGAGCAAGCGCTGCAAGCACTGGGAGCTACCCCTGTCCTGTTCCATGTTCCCGGTTCCCTATTCCCTGCTCCCTGCTCCCTATTCCCTATTCCCTGCTCCCTATTCCCTGCTCCCTATTCCCTATTCCCTGCTCCCTATTCCTATTCCCCATTCCCTGCCTGCTCCCTGTCAGCGAGTGTCAAACACAAGCGTTCACCCAGCGCTTGGAGCTCCAGTGGCTGCCCCTGCCCTCTGCTCCCTGTTGGTGTCAGATCTGAACGTTCATACAGGCAGCTGCCCCTGCCCCTTCCCTGCCTGCTGCTCCCTACCTGTTCCCTGGTCATTCCCAAACTTCTCCCTGCCCATTCCCTGCCTGTTCCCACCCCCGTTCCCCGCTCCCTGCCCCGCTGCTCGCTCCGTGCCCACCTGGGATCCCGGAATGCCAGGCGTCCCTCGGGCAGCAGGCAGAACAGGAACTCACTGCTCGGTGTGCTGGGTGCAGCCCTTCACCCATGGGTGCTCCGGGAGGTTTCATTTTGCCATCCAGCCGTGATGATGACGTGTCAGAGCTGCAGCCCACGGTGCAGGGTGAAGTACTGGGGTTCAGGACTTTTCTCCTTGCTTCCTTCTCCCCTGTGAGGTGCCGGAGTGTTGGCAGCACTGTGAACTGCTTGGGGCAGGGATCATACCTGGAAATCATGTCGTAGGAATAGTTAAAGAAGTGAAAATGACTTTTGCCCAAACTCAGCTTTTGTTTGCACGAGTGTGAGTTTGTCACAGGCTTGGTAACATCACAGAGAGATGGAGACTGCCCTGAGTGATGGGTCTGTAAAGGTTTGCAAAGGAATACCGGCATTAGAAAGCAAGGACAGAAGGACTGGGAAGGACTGGTTAAGGATGAACRGGAGACTGAGGGCAGAGAGCTCCAGAGAGAGGATAAGGAAATGAAGGGGAGAGCGCTTTTCCCTCTTAACCATTTTCTATACTATTYTTTCACCTCTCTTCCTAAAGTGACCAGCAATGAAGATGGCGACTGTGCCTGGAAGTGCTGAGGACACAGCCAGCCTTGAGCTTGGTCCYTCTGGCCGAGGAAGTCTCCCGATTATGCAGTGGAGTGGTAACTTTGCTTTCTCATATGACAGGGACCATTATTGCCTAGCCTTTCCCCATTCCCAGGCTTACCCAAGTTTCAGGATGTGATAGCACAAGTGTTTGATCTCCGCTGCTCGCTGCTTGGCATCTCCAGCACCAGGGTTGGTTGTTTAGCAACAACCGCTGGGCTCAGCTCCCCACGGCCTGGGCTGCAGCCTGGCCTCTGCAGGGTGGTCTGCAGACAGGGAGAGAGGGAAGGGTTGCATTTACACCCCAAACGCAATTTCGGTGGTTTGGTCGCRCAGGCCGCGGGCGCTGCGGATTTTTCGCGACGCCGTCCTTTGCGCAGGGCCGCCATTTCCCRCGGCAGTGCGGCGTAGGAACGGCGAGGGAAGAACCCGACAGACTGTACGTGCCACTCCCCACTTTCTTCCCCTCTTTCCCATCTCCATCCTTCCTCCTTCCCCTCCTTTGCTGCCAGATTCCACAGGGAATTTCAGCCTCTTACTGCAGTCGTCACAACCCCTCCTGACTCACTGAGCCTTCGCTGGCTGGAGCTGGCTCCCTCGGAGCATCYTTGCCTCCTGCAGCGCCAGATCCGCAGAGCAGGGCAACAACAGCAACAGCAGCCACGTCGGTGGTCCCTGCACACAGACAGACAGGCATAAAATACACACAGACACACATGAGAACAGTCCCAGGCAGCTGGGGAGGGGTTCTACATGGCCAGGAGCTGGACTAAGGCTTGGTTGTGTGCGTGATGGGTGGGTTGAGTCGGTTTTCCTGAGTGTTGGTCGCATGAACAACTCTTGGCGGTTTTCCTTGTCACAGTTGTGGGGTGGAGAACCCCTCCATTTGTAAAAGTAATGCTGTTTCATGGCTTTCAAGGAGGTGCTGCTGGCAGCTGGTCTGTCTGCTCAGTGTGTTCGGGGCAAGGATGTATTTGGTTTAATTCCTTTTGCCACCATCTTTCAGCCATCTCATGGTTTAACCATGAGAACACAGGGAGGGGAAGGAGACGGATAAAAGAGGAGTTATTTCAATGTTAAACTGCAGCTGTAAATCTCATTACTCAGGAATTGAGGTTACTGTCAGCAGGTAAATCTGTGGGACTGGCAGGAAACAAGGCTAAGAAGGGGACATGGCATATTTCTGTAGGACAGCAGTGACTGTGTGCTGGACCGGGTTACGGCTCTGTAATCGTTCTCTGCACAGCGTCCCAAAAGGACTGGGCAAAGCTGTGATTCCTTCCTGCCTGTGACACTGTGGGAGCTGATTCCTTTCCCTGTCTCTGGGTTTCCCTGCTCAGGGAAGTGGGGTTTGTTCTGCCCTGGCCTCAGTGCAGCACCGTGACGCAGCGTTCGCCGCCGCGCCGACAAAACACRCGCAATTTTCTCGGGCGTTCTGACCGCTCCGGGACCGCAGGATTTGGGGAAGGAAGGGCAAGATTTCACATGCCCATGAGATAAATTTAAAAGCATTACCTCTTCTTCTGTGCTAGCRAAGGAAGGCTCTGTGAGGGACGAGACAGCCATGATCTCCTCCTGCACTTGTTTTGCCGATGGTCATGTTACATCTGTGACGCAGACGAATTTTGCTGTTGGTTCTTGTCGCTGCTTCAGGGAGTGGAGCTGATGAGGGCACAAGCTTGAATATAGTTAGAAACATTCTCTTTGTATTGATGTTAAAGTGTGAACCATGCCTGAAGGGTCAGGGGTATCGGACCCACCTAGCTGACCCCCCAAATGGTGCAGGAATTGGGATGAGCCCCAGCACCCCTGGCCATTTTGCTGCTCGCAGAGCAGGCTCGGAGCCTGCAGCACTGCTGCTGCTGCTGCTGTTCATTTCCATGTTATACAAATACAGCGTTGGGCTCTGTGTCAGGAGCTTTCTGATGCTGTGAGAAGCTTAAAGTCTACAAGCAAATGTTTTTCTTTTCTTATTTGGGAACATTCATTAAAACGTCTCAATGCCAAGTGTTCTACCCCCTCTCCTCTGACAAATCTCTCCCAGACCGATCCAGAAAAATCAGTAGGATTTTTAAAACTTTATCATGGTGTTTTCTTACAGTTTAATAAGGGTGTGGCTGGGGGGAAGAGTGAGATTTAATTAGGTTAAATATCTATAATGTTGATGTTAATGGACAAGGATGTAGGCAAGGGGTAGTAGTTGTCCATATCCCCTTTTACCTGGATATGGATATGGACAGTCCAAGCTCAGGCTGTGAGGAACGAGAAGGGAGGGCTCCATCCCATTCCCACCYACCCAAACATTTCGGTGCAAAGGCAGCAGCAGAAAGGCCAAGCTGGAATGTCACAAAATGGTTCCACCAGCACTGTGAGATGCCAGTGCCGTTTATCCTGGCACGGCTCCGAGAGCGGCACCGCGAGCYGCCTGCTGCAAGGTCATTCCCCTGACTCATGGTCAGCAACCAGTTGGTTCAGGAACTCCCAATCCAATTCTCTTGCAGCTGTGCCCGTGCCTGAACCTGGAGGGGAGGCCTGAAAATCAATGTTATTGCAGCAGTGGGGGCACTGAGCCCCAATCTGTAGCTCCAAAAAAAAATCCCGTGTCTCTGAAAGATTTTGAAATCCRTACCTATAATTTTTCTTTGCTAGCTCCAGAAACTTTACACTACTTCCCTCATCCTCTTCTCCCCCAAAACTTCAAAAACTTTGCACTGSTTCCCTCATCCCCTTTCCCCCAAGACTTCCTCTGGACTGCTGGGAATCAGGAGTGSCGTGTATTTAAAGACTTGCACTCTGTTCTAGGGAAAAAACCCTCGGTGGGTATTTGCATTTCTGTAGTTMCCAGGTGTCAAGCCAGTGGTGTCTCTCAGGTGCTTTCAGTTTCAGATACCTCAGCTCAGGAGTTGTCTTGCCCCATCCCAGGTCTCCCCATTTTTCCCTGCTGGTCCTATTTGTCCATGTCACTTGTATTTTTGTTGGCTCAGGACAGCATCAGCCATGGATATGCTCAGGGCTGGCTCAGCCTYGCAGGCAGCACTGGACTGGTTAATGCCTGTGAGCAAAATAATTTATTTAGTCCCCAAAGTTCAAGTGGGGGGCAGGTTTTGTGCACAGGGACAGGGAGAGCAGTGCAGGGCCACGAGCAGAGCCTGGCCACGAGCAGAGCCTGGCCACGAGCCAGCCCAGCTCCCCAAACCCCCAGCCCCGGGCAGCCTGACCCTGCTCACAACAAACCTTCACCATCATTATTGCCTGCTTTCCAAAGGGACAGAACTGCTAATCCTGATGGCAGTGACGACTCCTCGCCTACAGGGAGGCAGATGTGATGGTTTGTCTGCTAAAAACTGAGCCAACACACTGTGATTCAGCCCTCCAGCTTTCCAAGGAACAGCTATTTCTGAGGGAAGCACATCTCTTCAGCTCCCCCCACAAACACGGTGCTCAGGAGCCCAACAGCAAGGTTTGCATTTGGATATCCAGCTCAAAGGCTTCTTAAACATTGAGAGTGACTCTTAATCACAGTGATATTTCAGGGATGGAATGATGGAAATGCTGGGAACAGGTACAAACCAGCAGCTCACGTGCCTGAGGTGTTTGGTCAGTGCTTTTCTCTTTTGCCAAGTCCTGCTACTGCAGGCAGCGTTAAACTATAGGCTCATTTTCAAAAATCTGGTTTAAAGGCAGGTTATACCTCAGTGAACATCTGGCAGGGTTTGTTTCCTTATGCTCCTCACTGGCACAGGACATTCTTTTGTCTCTTGAATGACACAGAAGAAAAATATGACTTCCCTTGACATTACCTAGAGGAGCTGGAGCGCTGGTGTTGGGGGAACACCATGTTCCTGAACCGACTGTACAAATCACAACAATCATCTCCCTGTGAGTGCTTTCAAGCCCTGCAATCAGTACTTTACATTCTAAAGTGATGCTTAGGTACAGAAGTTAGGAATAGAAAATGGCCCTTCTGGTTTCAGCTGCTTGGGTGGATCATTCGGTTGAGTGCAGGGAGTTTTGCAATGCGTGGGACTAAATTTGATGAGTTTTCATTCTCACTGCCCTTCCCTGACCTCAGCCATGCAAGTGCAGTGCCTTTATTCCCATCTGTGAGTTTGCCCAGTTCCATCTCGCTGTTCTCTGTGAAATCTGAAATCCTCCAGATGATCCACGTTGTTCAGGAGTTCCTGTGCTCCCCAAACAGGATTTGGTTTGCCCAAGAACTCATGAGAGCAAAGCTGGGGGAAAACTGGATGACTGCAGGCAAGTCAAAGTAATTTCAGATGAGCAGAGKGGGCTCAGAAGATGAGGAGCTGCAGCACAGCTCTAATGGTCACCATGCTAAAACAGACACTGAAAAATTCCCCTTAACAGAAATTGAAATTAGTGACTCAAATCAAGCAGGCCCAACTGTCCCCTTGCTCAGAGTTAAAGAGACACAAGGCTTTTAGCCCCATCCTGTCCTAGTGTTCAGCCTGCCTTGGGGTTTTGGAGGGTTTCAGGCACAGTGTCTGGGTTTTAACTCCATTTATACTGCACAGTGTCTGGGTTTTAACTCCATTTATACTGCAGTTGTACGGCTGCAATAGCAGGACTGAAGGATAGGCTACATTCAGTTCAGGACTGGAAAGTGGAGTTTTGATTGTGGTCTTAACAATGGGGAAAAAAAAATCTCCCTTGTGCTTTAAACTCAGGAGGGAAATGCTTTTTTGCAGCATCTCCAGAGCCATTTTGCAGGCACAAATATCAGCTTTGCTGAGCAGTGCAGCCCTGCTGTGCCTTTCCTCAGGCCAGGCTKGCTCCAAACACAAGCCTGAGCACATTTGTCCACAGCTGACCCACGCAGCACCACAAAGGGACAGAACAGTCACAGGCTTCCCACGCTGAGGTTTTTTGGAAACTTTAGAAGTTCACTCATTTCCATTCCCCTTACAGGTCACCACTTGCACTGTCACACCCCTTGTCCTGCACCTGGCCTTGGGCTGGTTCATTCCTTTGCTGGAGGATGATGCATCAAGCTCAGATCAGGGATTATTTTCTCATGGGGAGAGCAGAGCCTGACAAACCTCGAGTTTCAACCCCGTGATGTGAAAATGGAGGAAACAATTTATGATGCACACTGAGAACTGTTTTGCTTTCTGTAAAAGCTTTTCTACAGAAGGGGTAGGTTGTGAAAAATCAGGGCTGTGACATCCAGCCTTGCCTTGTTCCTGCAGACTAAAGGTCTCAGGGTAGAGAGAATCCCTTTCACAGGGAAGGCAGGGATTCCCTTTTTGTCTCTGTCTCCTGTAGAATGTAAAAAGCAGTGTGAAGTCCATGAAAGCCTTTGAGATGTTCCTCTGAAAAAAAGCTACAGAACAGCACTGCCACTAAAACATCTGAAAAGGAGGAAAACCACAGAATGATATTGTACTTTCCCTACTATTATTTACTGAAAAGTCCAGATCACTGTGACAAACACAGGAGAGGTGACAGTGTTTGCTGGTCTSCACACAGCAAATGTTTGAGACCAGCACTGGCTCATTTTCATCCCTGTGAGAGTGGGGAGGTCCAGAGGGTGCCCAGAGAAGCTGTGGCTGTCCCTGGATCCCTGGCAGTGCCAAAGCCAGGCTGGACAGGGTTTGGAGCACCCTGGGACAGTGGGAGGTGTTCCTGCCATGACAGGGGGGGCACTGGATGGAATTTAAGATCCCTTCCAACCCAAACCATCCTGTGATCCCGTTTTCCTGCACATGTCCCATTCCCACCGGGGTACTGTGGATCCCAGCATCCCAAACTGCTCCTTTTCTCCTGCCCAGACACGCTGTGAGCCTTGGAAAGGAGAGCACAGACAGATGTACCCTTCCCAAAACGTGCACCTGCACCTTGGCAAGAAGGGCTGACACCTTCTGGGCAGCTYGTGAAGGCAACAGGACAAACTCCAGGTAGCCTGGAGGAGGAGGGGCAGCAGCATCTTAATTATGCTGAAGTGAAACCTGGTTTTATCAAAACTATAAATAATAAATGAGCCATTGGTCTTCAAATGCTGCATGATATTTCTGGAAAGGTCGGTCTCCTTTGGAGAGGGGAAGATGTGCACTGGTGTTCAGTCTTTCTAAGCCTCACACTTTGACAAAAGTCCCCATTTTCAGCAGCACAAAATTAAGTGACATTTCCTCCAGCTATTTYCCAAACCCCTAATGAAAATTTCTTTTCAGTGCTTACTACTGAGGCAAGAAAAAACCAAAGCAAAGCTCACTGTGATCCTGTTTCTCAAGGGTGCTGCTGGGATTCTGTGATCTGTGCTGCACCTGCCTCTCCTCAGAGCACCTCCTGGGCCAGCTTTTCAGGAGTAAATCTCACCTGATAATAGAGGGTGCCTCATAAATAACTGTGCCAGCACGACAGGCACTGGGGAGGGAACCTGCTTTCCACTTGTCTTTCACCCTGTTGCCCCAGATAATGGATTTAGAAATGACAGCAAATATCCAGACCCAGTAATCTAGTCCAGTTATTTCCCCTTCCTCCACCCCTCTTTCTTGGAAGGACATGCTCTTCACTCTGAGCTCTTCCTCTGCTGTCTGGGAGCRTGCATTAGGATTTTTGGATGTGGTTACAACACCAACACACGGAGTTGCCAAAAACCCGGGGCATCAATAAGTGAAATTGCCGGCTCCAGTTGTGCTTTACTCCATTTCACATCGGCCTCTGTGGCAGCACAGGTCAGACACTCATCCAAGGGTTGATGGCTGCTGAATTATGCATGTGTGGAGCAGTTCAGAGCTTCCCAACACCCCTGGATTCCCCGTGCTCTGAGCCTTGGGCACTGCAGGTTAAGTGCACTGCAGTTCCAGGAACCATCAGCCACTCATTTTCACACTSTCCTTCCTCGACAACTTCCACTGAACCATTTACAGTTCAATTTGTGAACGCTCCCTTTTTGTTCTGACCCGCACTCTTGAGTACTTTCAACCCAATTTATTTTCATTCTGCCTGCAGAATTTAGAAGTTGTCTCACACAAAAATCTGAGAGTCCTTGCTTATTCAAAGCACAGGGACTGCAGACAGAGGAAGCTCCACCAGGACAGTCACATTTCCTTTCCCTGCCACAAAAAGCACCTGATCTGTCCTGTACTCTCTGATCAGTGAGTGACAGAAAGCCAGAACACTCTCTGTCTTGGACAGAATGAGGTTTATAGYCTGGTTTCATCTGCAGCAAAATGGAAAAAGTGTTCCTGTACAACACAAACTTCCCCCAATCACCCCATCAGCATTGTGCTCTGCATGACCAGGAAATAAAACCTCGATCACCTCTTGCAGGGAAGAACCTGAGTGCATTCCACCTGCCTAGAAAAGGAAAAAACAGGCTGGGGGCTTTCCTCAGCACACACCTAATTGTTCCTATACAGCCCCAACCATGAAAAAAATGCCCAAAAAAAGTATCCACAAAGTAGCTAAGCCAAAAGTTAACTGTCTTGCTGTCTGAAATTAAATAAATGAATTTTTCTCTAGGTACGGAGGAGATGAAGGATTTTCTCCCTCAGCCTGCAGCCTTGCACAAGATGTGTCTTCCTCTGGAAGCTGGTTTCACATGGTGGCTTAGATTTTCCCACTTTGTATCTAGCACCATTTGAAATCAGTGTTCTAGGAGCAAGAATTACAGCGTGGGAGGAGACCAAGAACCTGCTCACTTCTCCATCAGCCTCTGCTGCCCACATCAGCCCTTTTCCCAAAGGTGATTCTTTTGCCAGCCATCCACTTTGTACCATCAGTATCTGATTTCTAGACACTTCTCCAATCACTGTATGCACCCTCCCAAGGCAGGGCCACACCAGAGCAGCCTCCTGCTCATGTACTTCTGCTAAATAAACAATGGATATGAGTTCAAGGTGTCCAGAGTGAAGTGATCCCGAAGTTGCATGAAAACCAACGTGGTACTCCTTGCATCTTGACAGGCAGAGAACATTTAACATCCAAAATCAGCATCAACATTTTAATTTACTGCTCAGAGCAAAAGGATTTCCACTCTCTGCTTGGGGACTCCAACACCATAGGATTCTCATTCCATAGCTCCCAGAGTTCTGCAAACACAGAAATTCCCTCCAACAACCCGAACTCAGCAGTTAAACACAGAAATGCCTTCAGCAATCCCAGAATCTCAAAATCCCAGCCTGGTTTGGGTTGGATGGGACCTTAAAAATCCCCTTATTCCAACCCCCTGCCATGGGCACCACGATGAGGCCACACAGCACACACAGAACCCATTCCTTTTTCTAGAATCCTTCTCCAGCACAAACAGAACCCAATCCTAGAATAATTTTTTCAGCACTAACAGAACCCAATCCTTCTTCTAGAACTGGTTTTCAGCACAAACAGAACCCAATCCTAGAATAATTTTCCAGCACAAACAGAACCCAACCTTTCTTCTAGAATTGGTTTTCAGCACAAACAGAACCCAATCCTTTTTCTAGAATAATTTTTCACCACAAACAGAACCCAATCCTTTTTCTAGAATAATTTTTCACCACAAACAGAACCCAATCCTTTTTCTAGAATAATTTTTCAGCACACGCAGGACCCACTCCTTTTCCTACAATCATTTTTGTTTGTTGCTGGTACCTTCTAGCAGTATTTCCCCTGCATCCCAACCACTGAAGCAAAGCTGAACTCTTTTTTTTTTGCCCTCACTGATGTCCAGCGTGTTCCCAGACACGGAAAAGCTGATCCCTGAGTGGAYGAAGGTTTGATCAGAGCACTCAGTAGTCATCTCAAAGAATGCATAGCTGTCATCTCCAAGAGGATCCTTCTCTGAGCCAGGACAACGTCTCTTACACAGGCTGACCGATTTCTCTTGGTGTTCAGAGTCTCAGTTTTTGTCTAGCACCATTTGAAATCGGTTATGATGTAGGGGGAAAAGCAACAGTAATGGAAAACTTCCTTCCCCCAGCCCCCAAGTCACAACCAAACCCCGAGCAGGATCTGGCTTCCCCAACACCTGTGGTTTGCTGTTCTCTGAGCTGGAACTTCAAACATAATTCAGATTCTTCAACTCAAAGCAGCCAGGGTCTGGCTGTGACAGCACAGCCACCCCACCTTCTGACCACTTCTACTCCACCTGCTGTTTGTTTGCCTTAACCTGTTATTTACACCGATTTTTTTTTTTCCTTTTAAATAAAATGGTGTGCTCTACACTCCTGGGCTCTGTCTCAGGCAGACAGATCACCTGTTTTTCTGCTGGACAAYACCTAAACTCTGCTGCCAAGTCTCTTCATTTCAGCCCCCAGCTCCATCCTCACCACCCTCAGAAGAATTTAAGAGAATCAGAATGGTTTGGCTTGGAAGGGACCTCAAAATCATCCAGTTCCAACCCCTGCCATGGGCAGGGTTTAATTTATGCTGACYTTAAATGTGACAACCACTGACACTTCACATTATTTAACCCTAAACCAGGTAACCCTATTTTGTTTCTTTCACTGTTCCTATTACCAGTAGATGGCAACACCACATTTTGATTGCACACAGCCTTTTCTTCAGCACAGAGCTCAGTGTTCAGGTCTCTTTTAATTTTCAGTTCCAGACTCCAAAATGAAAAAAATTCACGCAGCACTGAGTTTTAGAAAAACAGCACGGGACTCATGACAATTAGGAGAAATTAATTTGTAGTGTTTAAGTTAAACTGGTAAAAWCACAGAGGGAAAACCCAGAATGGTTTGGGTTGGAAGGGACCTTAAAGCTGATCCCATYCCACGCCCTGTCAGGGGCAGGAACATTTTCCATGAGAAACTCTGCTGATCCCATCAATGCTCACTGCAATCCCAAAACTCCATAGAGCACAGTTGTGCAGTCTGGCATCATTTCCAGTCCCCACCACCTCACTTGGAGTATCACAACCACAAACTGGGAAAGAAATGCAGCACATTTTAAGTTTTTCTTTCTATTCCAAYATCTGAAAGGATTCATTCTATCAGGCAGCTGACTCCACACACAGCTTTACCATGAAAGTTAAGTCCATTTGAAGTGTGAAATCCACACAATTCCTAAACCCATTCCCCTTAAGAGGTCACCAAAACCCAACAGAGCTGATTCCCCAGGAACTGCATTTGTTACACGTGGATAAAAGTGCCAAAACAACCTCTGGGCTTTGCCTCAAGTGCTCCATCAGAACAGCCACAGGATAATCTTCCTCTTCTCCATSAACTTTTCACCAAGTTTTCCAGAAGTCAACACTGTAAAGCTTTGGAGGTTCTGGGAAATCCTCTGCAATTCTAAAAGAAAACCCCAAAAGGCTGCTCAGCAAATGAAAACACAATCCCTGTGCTACCACTGAGTAATTATGGGCACAAACTGCAAAATTTCCATCTCAGCRGTTACCACCTCATGTTTGGGACATGGAAAATAATCTGGATAATGATGGGAAAAGAGCTGCTCAGCCCATGATGAATGAAAGACAAACACTTACTGCTACATAATTTAATGTTTTTATTTGGAATATTACAAATCATCACTAACCTTTACATCCAGAAAGAAGTGTAAAAATAAGGCCAATTTTTACAGTGATTTGACTTCCCAAATGAAGTGCATTTCAGGGTATTTTAGCACATTGCAGATGCCACACAAAGCAAGCTGAGCCCCTGACCACCAGCACACTCAGTCCCAGTCACACATCCCAGTGTTTACAAACAATCCCAAACTGAGATATCAGCCAGRCCACAAACAGCAAATCCTTCTGGGGAGCCAAAGCCCCTTTCTAACAAGCACAGCCTATTATGAGCTCTGAMAATACGACTGCTGGGATTGTCCCAAAAAGCCCTATAAAGCCCTAAACAGTTCTGTGCCACTCCAACAATCTGTTGATGACAGGGAGAGCAGTGCCAAGCAGCCACAGACAAGCCAGAGTAGTTTCAGTGCTGCCTCAGGCATTTCAAGTGAGGCAATTTGTGTTTTCTGTGAAAATTGGTTCTTAGAAGTTGATGGTGAGATTCATGCAGCTAAAACCTGTTCTAGTTAAGATTTGGGGCTTGCTAAGGAATTAGAAGTTGCAGTGAATGTCAGTTAATGGCAAACAATGTGGTGGGAGCTCCTGGAGTCAGAATCTGGACTGAAACATTTAAATATTWGATGAGCCAGCAGCAAACAAGAGACCACCACATCCACCAGCACTGCCTGCACTCCCACAACTGAACTGCTCTGGGCTTCCTTTCACGTGAAAAATGAAGGACAGAGAAAAGCTTCTGCTTCTAAACAGGAATCTGATGCTAAATCTGACCTTTCAGAGCCTTTAACAGCACAGTGTGCAGACAGAGATTTGGAATGAGCAATACACGACTTCAAGCAAAAAAAGCGAGGAAGGTGGATTGCACAGCACCCACGTCTATCCTCAGATCTGCAGAACTGACATCAAAGTTCACTAAAAATCAGCACCCTGAGGAAATTCCACTGTGCTCAGGACAGGACAGGGCCACCACTGAGCTCTCAGCAGCTCCTTTACTCAGGTACCTCCTGTCAACAGGCAACAGATTCCTTCAGTTTTCTATTCCAACAAATCCACTGCAGTCTTCATGGGATTACAGCAAAGAATCAGAAATGGCTTTTTTCCTTCTCAAAAGCAAAGGAAAAGCTATAGAAGTCTGATTTCAAGGCACATTTTAATTMATGATATATACAGCAACCAACTTTGGCAAACAAAGAGGTAGAGTATATAAGATCTTTACTAAGTTTCCAAAAGAAATCGCCTTCAATGGCACCAAACTCTTCGGGGAAGGAGTAACAACACATTTCAGAATATAAAAAAAAAAAACCAACAGAACCATTTACACCACCTCAACTGCAAAAGGGGCCAGGAAGGACAGTCAGGTTTGAGTGAGCAGAGCCCTAAAGGACACAGGAGAATTTTGGACATCTTCTGTAAGCACAGAGGTGGCACTGAAGGCAGCAGGCAGCAGCAGCTGGCACTGGGACAGTGACATTGCTCCCACACTCTTGCAGGCTGCAGGTATTGCCTTTCCCCCAGCTCACATGCACAGAAAGACAACGAGGGGCCCRGGAGGCAAAGCAGGATCTATCTGTATTATCTATATATACACACACATACACTTTTTATCCTATTAACACCCTCCAGGTCAGCAGCACAGCAAGACACAGCACAAGCTACCATCGACAGCAGCCCACTGCAAGGGCAGGCACCCTCCAGCTCTGACAGGGACATTGCAGTGCAAATCCACTCCCACCCCCCCAAAAAAGGGTCAGTCATGCTTTACAGATCTTATATTCGGCAGAAGTGGGAGTGCTGTCACGTTTCCTACAAAYAAAAAAACAAGTCAGATCAGAGGGTTTACATTTCAAGAGGTTTCACATTTACACTGAAAGCACATCCTTAGTTTTATAATTAAAGCAGCAGGTCAAGGCACAAATTGAGTCACTCTTTATCCTCTCTTTACCAAGCAACTGCTGGACTGAGATTTGAGCTTCATTCAGCTCCTGAATTGTTAGGAATGACCCAAGGAGTAGCAGAGCCTTTGATCCAAAGGTATCATTTCAAGTGATGACTGATATTACCAAAAACCAACACCAGAACAGGTACAGGGTCCCAGAACTGCACCATGTGCACTCCTAAATTAATTTCAATTACAGTGTGTTGTTTAGCACATATTTTCTAACCAGACACCAAATATTAGTTTGTGAGGATTTTGATTCTGCACTCCACTAACAGCAGCTTTACAATAATTAAACAKACAAGAATTAAAATTCACAATAACATTCTTATATACGTTCCAAGGTCTTGAACAACTCCTGGTTCATGTCACCAAAAAACCCATCCCATCCCAAAAGTCTGTGCTACTACTCCAAGTCTCTGAGGAATTCTACATTCCATAGGAAAAATTCCAGAATTAACAGTTTTCACACACCAGACCAGTAATCTCTCTTATCATGTGTAAAGGTAAGGTAAGAATGAAAAATTCTGTTCTATCTCCTGAAGCAGTTTTTTTTTCCTCTCCAAAATAAGCCCAACTAACCCAGAAAACAAATCCTATCTTAATTAGAAACATCTTTCCTCAGAGTGAAGATAATATTCCTTAATCCATACATTATATTTTGGAAGAAACTTCAAGCTTAGTCTTCATATAAAAACTTACAAAAATACTGAAAATTCACTTGTCCAAGTCAATAAAATCAAAACTATGCACATGAAAAGACTTTTGCATTAAGTTGGAATAAGAGAACCCACCACCTCCTCAGAATCCATGCAATGAAAAAAAGCAATGAACAACAAAAATGAGCAAACTGGACTGAGCTTTAGGTTAAAATACAGCAGAGGACATCAGCTGCAAACAAGCAACTGTAGTTTGATGCTTTTTAGGGCTAAAGAACTCTGAATTTGAAAAAGAAATCATCTTTTCATAAGAAGGTTTCATAAAGATCTTGTTAGAACCTTCATTTATTCTCTTCTAGAAAGCAAAAACGCAGATAAATCAGTACTTGTGGGAGATGAGATCTGGYTTTCTCTGAAGGGATGCTCAGCTACCTTTAGAGTTTCAGTGTCCAAAGKTGTTTCCAGTTTCTAATTTCAGAGAATTAAACTATTGGCTAGGAAAATACTTCACTGGAATGGGTGCAAACATTTCAGTGAGTGTTGTTTGCAATAAGCTACTCGTTCTTCAAAGATACCACCAAGAAATGTGATTTACAATCACTGGAAGCTATTACTGACAATRCTGAATGATTAATCCTTTATATTTATATCCTGTTCTCCCAAAATGAATGAAAGGATTCTTTCCTACAGGAAGCCAGGSTTCCCAGCTGGCTGGATCCCACACTCCTGAAATTCCAAGTAAACCACAGTAAAAAAGACACTTAAGCTTCATTGCAAAAATTCAAACAAAGTGGAAAGTGTGTACCTTTCAATTAATTCATTTGTGCAGTTCTTCCATCTCAGCTGGGACATTATCTTTTAAAATACATGTTTCCTTGCAACTCTCATCAACTGTGTACGAGCTGAACAGCAGAAGGGGAGAAAGGTCTAATTGAATGTCCCATCCAAGTGAAATTTGGAACACACAGGAAAGGAGAGGCCAAGGAAAGATTTGCTGTCGTTGGGAGGCCACAAACCAGCAAGGCTCAGGGGCTGGAAGCACAAGAGCTCACAAAGGCTCAGCTGCGTCAGAAACTCTAAATAGGGAGATGGAGGCCTTAATAAAAGGAGATTAGATCAGGGTTTTCAGACTAGAAAGAGCTTTAGCAGTCAGATGTTCACAGAGAGGAAGATAAAGGGAAGCACTGGGCACAATCAGGCTTTTGATGCTGTCAAGATATTCAGGAATGTCACATTCTTTAATTTTTGATGATGCTGCTGCTTTAGATCCCTCCTGCTTTCTACACCCTGAGAAATCTCTCCAGGGATGAACTGCCAAGAGCTCTTCTTTGGCCCATCCAGGGTGCAAAATACCCAAATCCTGGATGAAAAGCAGTGGTTCAAAAGCACCAAATGACTCAGCAGCACACTCTGGCCCTTGCATTGGTACTGCACTGCCTTTTWAAAAGACACTGAGGCTAAAACCTTSCTGGATATAAAASAGCTTCAGGGCTCTCCCCAGAACTCCATTACAAATAGGAATCACAGGAATATTCCCTRTGGTTTGCTACATTAAAAGCATCCCTTCCTTTGTTTCATGTGCCCCAGATAAATCCCAACCGATTCTGGTAAAAGAAAACACAGTTTTGATGAGATTATCCTAACATTCCGTGTGTGCCACCTAAGCTGCTCTGCATTCTCAGTGTTTTGCATGTTACAAACTCTATCTCTGACAAAAAGCTTTTCTTCCAGAAGATAAAATCAGACATTACAGCCAGAAGCAATGCTCAAAGAGGCATTTTTTACATCTCCTGCCACCCCTCCATGAAAAACCACACATAAACCCCAGATGTTTTGAAGATAAAAGTTTAAAACACCCTAAATATCTCATTAAAAACAGAACACTATTGCTTAGGCATGAATCTAATATTTTACAGATGATTTCTGCAAGTCTTTAACACAGGGACCCAAACAATGCTGCTGCAGGAGGAAAAGAAAAACCTGAAAATCTCGGAGCAGCACAAGCCCACACAACCAACACTCCCCCTGGCTTTAAGAGATAAACTTGACATTGTTAAGCAGATGGACAAAAGTACTTTCCTTGGCAAGAGGGCATTGCCAAACACAAGCTTAAGAACAGCTTTTCTCTCCTGGAAATTAGTGCAAGTGTTAACGAGCAGCTTAGCTGAAGAGCAGATCCAAACCCAAAGTCAAATACAAGGTTAGGCCTTAGCTCCCATCAGCTGGGAGGAGCTCACATCAAATCAGACTTTGAAAAAGAAAAGGGCACACAAAGCTCGAGAAACTTAAAAACACCAGCACAGCTTTGGCTCAGTCATTTGAAAGCTTGAAATAATAATATTGATCATAAAAAAAAAAAAAGGAAACTTACTCACCCATTCTGTGAAAAGAATTTCTTATAGATCCAGAAGGCTGCCAGGAGCACCACAACCACCACGATCACTTTAAGAAGAATTAGAATAAGAAAAAAGTCTTAGAGTGATAAAGATCATCTGCAGCTCACAAAAAAGCATCAAAACACTTTGCAGAAATAGCCTTGTTGTCATCTACAGCTCTATCCCACCTCTACCTCCTCAGAAACCCCACAAACCCCAATTATTTATGCAATAAGCCACGTAAATGAAGTATTTGATGCTTTACTTAAGACTGTGAGAGATAGTTCAGCCCAAAACCAGTGACCACCAAGATGGCAAAACCCCACCAGCTCAGAAACATAAAATAGGAATGACAAGGCCCCAACATGACAATTTTATACAAATCTGGGTGACAGAAGATGGACTGAACACTTCTGCTCACCTGCAGAGTTATTTACTCACACCTCCAGTAAACTCAAGCTCTGAAATTTATGCAAGTGGCCAAGTTGTTGCAGGCTGCCTTTGAAATTCCCTCACCACACGAAAAACTACATATTTTACACTAAATTAAATTAAAATTGCAATCTTTTTTTTAATTATGCAACTTCAACTAAAGCTCAAACATAATACTACTGCAGTCCCAGTGACTGGAACCAAAAATAGATTTCTACATAAAAAATAAAATTCATATCATATTTTGTTAAGGTTTTAGAAATTACTTACCACAGATGACAGTTATAATAGCTCCACCTAAAACCAGAAGGAATCAGTATTACAAGAGGAACACTTGTGCTTTTTATCCAAACATTATCATAAAAATATTCATAAAGCTACTTCAAGTCAAGTACTTCTATCAACACAATCTCTGAAGCAGACAAATTTAAATAATATTTCACTTAGAATATGAATATTTTAATTGATCTTATCAAATCCTATTTTTTCCCATCAAAATAAAGATGRGAAACGAATCAAATTATTTCTCCTGGATGTTTTCACAGCCCATACTTACTCAGCTTGCAGCTTGGCACTGCAGGGTTCCACTGGTTGTTTCCAATGTACTGAATTCGAGCTGCCCCATGCAAASTGTAGCCTGTGTAACACTCAATGGTAATAAAATCCCCCACCATGTAGGAGGGCTTTTGTCCAGCAATTACTCTGCCATAATTTATGACTGGTGTGGTACCAGAAGYTTCAGATTGACCTGGAGAGAAAAAGCAGGGAGAAAAAACAATAATTAAAAAATATATTCCTGCATCAGACATTTGGAATTTGTCACTCTGCCCCTGGTTTTAGCAGTTTGGGTTTTACTCACAGACACAGTGTTGTAAAGGACTCCAAGAACTCTGGTCCTGACATGTCACTGTCATCTCTGCAGTGCCATCAGGGAAGGAGCAGCCAGTGTTGCACCTGATCTGGACAGATTCTCCTTTTCCATAGGCAGGTTTGGCTGGGTCCAGRACTCCATTCTGGATCCTCGGGGCAGGACACAAGTCTGAAGTAACTAAAACAGCAATTTAAATCAAGTTTAATGGGAATAAAGTTTATTTCCTAACTACTAACTCACTCCACACATACACAATCTCCCATAAGAAAAAACAACTCAGCAGTTTAACTTTACCCCACTTTGAAGTACAAATATTCCCTTTAGAACACTCAAAGAAACATCACTGTAGGTATTCATTAAGGAATCTTATGATGTGGCAGCTCAGAAATCCACATTGGTTCATTATTTTTCTAAGCTCTAGAATAATTTCCAGGTGCCTCATCAGACTCATTCATTATGGAACACCCAAACACACTCCTTCTAAAGTGCCTCTCACTCTTGGGAACTCATGATTAAAAAATGCACGTGAAAAATTCTCTCTCTGTCCTCCACAACAACATTCCCTGTCCCCGCAGCACAGGGAGGGAGGAAAAGGTTCACAAACACTCCTGTCACGTCCACAGCCCTRCAAATCAGCCCTGACTTCATGATTTCCCTGCTCACAACCTAACAAGATGCCACACAGCCCAGGAAACCTCAAAAGTAGGAGCTGAGGAGCTGCATAAAAAACACAAAGATTTTCATTACTGCAGAAGGACACTGCAGGTTTCCTCACTGTGCTTACTCCTAAATCTCTTCATCACAACCAGAACACATCCTTTCTCCTCTATTCCACATCTTTTCTAACGTATTTCACATCCTTTCTCCTCTATTCCACATCTTTTCTAATGTATTTCACATCTTTTCTTCTCTATTCCACATCTTTTCTCCTGTATTTCACATCTTTTCTTCTCTATTCCACATCTTTTCTCCTGTATTTCACATCTTTTCTCCTCTATTCCCCATCTTTTCTCCTCTATTCCCCATCTTTTCTCCTCTATTCCCCATCCTTTCTCCTCTATTCCCCATCTTTTCTCCTCTATTCCCCATCTTTTCTGCTGTCTTTACCCATGAACCCCCCAGAAAAACCTCGATGCTCTGTTTCAGCTAAAACATTCACACACCAGAGAAGTCAGAATGTTACAGAAAGTCTTACTTTTCTCACAAGTTGGTACTGGAGAATCCCAGACGCTGTTTTCTCCACAGGTAATTACCTCTGCTCCAACCAAGTAATAGCCCTGATTACACTCAAACACAACTGAGTCCTTGTAAATGTAGGAAGGGCCAAATCCACTTATTTTTCTCCCATTTTCAACTCTGGGGTTTTCACATTTGACCACTGAAAGRGGCAAAACATTTGTTAACAAATGAAAACAAAGCTCAGAAATGTTTTTTAAGACAAAGATTGCAACACACACAAGATCCTTTCCCCACTTGAAGATTTTTCCAAGTTGTTTTGGAGGGAYTTTGTAAACAAACATTGATTCCTGCACTTCCACAGGAGCTGTGTTTTTAGAACAAGGATTCTTCCTCAGCTTTTTACAATTCCTAATCCAGCTCCCCACATCCTCACCCTTGAATTTTTCTGCAGCTACCCAGGATTTTTCGTCTCTCAGTTCCTTTATTTTGGCCTTGTCACTTCTACCAACAAGATATTCACACATATTTTTCAAGCTTAAACTTGAATTTCAGTCATATTCTGTGCCATAATCAATCAATATCCACCACACTGACATGATACCCACTGGAACTGTACCAAACTTTGGATTTGTTCCTTCTTTCCTCGAGGGAAAGTCCATTACCCCCCACCCCGCTTCCAAAAGAGGGACACACACCGTAATAAAAAATTAAAAATCCCAACAACCTCTACATTCTGGAGGTGGTCCACTCCAAACTCCGTTTAAGTGGGCATCAGTTGTGCARTAAATTGTGTCTGAGCCAATGAGGGAGAAGGGATCCCTGCCMCTGGGAACCTTATCACACTTGTAGGTCACTGAATTCTGGTACACATAGCTCTCTCTTTCCATGTAGCGCCCGTTGGCTATTTCAGGAGGTGGCCCACAAGGGATTACTGTAAATAAAGCATAAAAATTGGTCAAATGGGGTTTTGTTGTGTTAGCTGGGTCATCTCCAAGAGCAAGCTTTGATTTTTCAGGTAATTTCATTGAAAATCTGATGTAGCTACTCTAAGTCACGCCACGGAATCTCAATTTCAACAAGAGGCTGATTTTCATATAACAACCACAAAAAATGGTATTTTTAATTCCTATTTCACCATCATTTTTTGTACTGGGAAGTTGATGGCACAGTTGTTTTTAAATGAACAACCACCCTCTGAATAGAAAATTAAACACAGCAGGAATTTACTGACTTTCACAATAAGGCAGAGGTCCACTCCAGTCAACACCTTCGTTCTTGATAACACAKGAAATCTCGTCCTTACCCAGTAATCTGTATCTGGACAGGTAAAAATTTGGAAAGAAGTGAAACTTCAATCTCTCATTTCTCCAACAAGCACCTAAAAATTGGTTTTTATAATTCTGTTCTGGGATCATGGGGAAATAACAACCCAAGGTTTTAGTGTAATGAGAACAGAATTGTGTTTATTTTGTTGATAACTCCACTCTGAATATAAAACAGAAGCCAATGAGAAATCTCTAAGGGAATTGTGGAAGTCTCACCCATTTTCAGATGTATGCTCTCTAATATTTAAGTCTTACAATAACTAATTCTAAAGGAAAAAGAGGAAAAAAACCTCCTTGGTGCTTTTGACTCAATTGTTGAATAACGAAGGATGACGAATATATATTTACTCACTCTACCACAGGAGCATTAAAAAAAATCACTAGAGGTAACACTCTGGTTCTGCAGAATCTCACTAAAAAGCTTAGGGCTGATGCACAGATAATTAAACCAGGAAATCAAATTAAATTTAGTTGTAATTTCATTTGCTACAGGTAAAATTCAGATTTCAGCTCAGAACCAGAATACAAAAGTTGGGTTTGGTTCAATTCTGGCATAAACAGAAAAAAAAGGGATTCATTAACTTCACCAAAGTACTTACCCTTCATTACAAAAAAATTTCAATTTTGAACCAAAGGTAAGATCTGAATCACCAGTATAGCCATTTTCCAAGTCTCCTGGGTATTTACATTTTCKCTCTGGGGGAACAGGAAAAGGAAAAGCAAGGAAAAAAAATCAACATTTTTGTAGCTACATACAAAAATAAAGTCTTTGCCATTTATCACCCTTACCCACACCAATGTTTCCCAACCTTCAATTAAAATTCCAGCTGAAATTGTTAAATATCAGACAGAAATAGGGGTACATAAAATTACCTGTACAGAAGGCATCTGTGGGTGACCACTGCAGGTCAGCACCACATGTCCGGGTCAGCGATTTCCCTGGRATTCTCCTGTATCCCGGCCGGCAGACGAAGGAAATCTGGCTCCCAACAGGAAAATTCTGCATTTCCTTGGAGCTCGGACTGAGCTCTGCGTACTGCAGCCGCTCTGGCCTGGGACACTCACCTGGGAGAGGAAGGAAAAGCAAMACCCAGCCTTAGCAACGAGAAGAGAAACACACCGAGGTGTAACAGCACAGCAGCCAGGGTCATTCAAGAGCTTTTAATAATATACTGAACTCGTTTCCAAATTTTTAATTTAGATTTTAACTGCATACACTGCCCAGTTCTACACGTATATAGGAGATATTACTGATTGTTTGCCCAAATTCTTTAATCATTCTACCAAGAAAAGGCGCTTCCTTCCAGGTCCTAGTTTTTGTCTGTTTGCCTTTTTTTGTAGTTGAATACACGATTTAACTCGCTGTAAATCTATTTAGTTTGCTGCATGAAAAACAAACAAGCCAGCCCCGCTCACAAAAACAAGACAGCTCATTGTCCTTCCTTAAGGAAAAACGAAAGTGAGTCTTAGGCGCMTAAAGCGGAGTTTAAAATCAGYTCCAAGGCCAGGCTGGACRAGGCTTGCAGCAATCAGGTTTAGCRGCAGGTGACYCTGCCCATGGTAGGAGTGAACGAGACGGCCTTTAAGGTCCCTCCCAACGCAATCCCATTATTCTAGGATTCCAACCGCCCCAAACCTCGTGTTTCCACCACCGCCCTTAAATCATTTCCTTCCTCCCCGTCCTCGCCCCGCCGAGCAGGTCCCGCGGGCCCCATCAGCACCGGCGGGACCGGAGCGGGGAGCGGGGCACGATTACAATCACAATCATAATCACAATCACAATCACA